TTTTTTTTTTGGTTTTTCTCCGGTACCAGGAACCGAACTCACGACCTTGCGCTTGCCAGGCAGGCGCTTTTGCCGCTGAGCTAAATCCCCAGCCCCTTGCACACATTTTTAAAGAACCTATCACACTGTGCCCGTGGCTTTTCAAATGGGTCCCGGAGGACCCCACATACCGTAACAGAGATCCGCTGAAGACACACGGAAAGCATGGGATTTCTTCAGACAGTCCTGGATTAAAACCATCGGCCAGTGTATTATCTCAGAAGGCAAAGGGCAGCAAAATAGCTGACTTATTCACTCCCCACACTAATGGCTACTTCTTCACCTTTGTTCTCGATTGCTTTCAGTTGGTAGTTTTTTTCAGGTTCTAACTTTTTGTGACAAAAATACAAGCACTACAAGTGCCGTGCCAGGATACTTACAGTCCCTTTCAACTATAAAATTAAAGATTCCTTTTGTTTGTTTTTGGAGTGGCAGGGGTAAAACCCAGGGCCTCGTGCATGCGCCCTAGGCAAGCATGCCAACACCAAGCTACAACTCTAGCCCGCAGGATTCTCTTTTTAACCTAAGGATCTTAAAATCTGTTACTAAAAATTAGCAACTTGAAGAAAAAATGGTCCTCCTTACTAATCAAAGGTCATACTGCCTCAGAGCCTACTCTAGCTACAGTTATTTTCAAATACAGTTCCAACAGTTGTATTTTCCCTTTTATGTCACCCAGTAAAACAAGACAAGAATTAAATGCAGGACTGAATAACAAAATTTTCCAAGTTTTCTGACACTAACTTCTCCATGGAGGCTCACACAAGAGGAATTCTTCCTAGAGAGCCTGGTGCACATATAAAACAGTCCCACTGCACAGATCTAGGGCAAAAACTCTAAACAAGAAATACATAATTAAGAAATCTACTCAGAGATACCACCTATAGATTTCTTATTTTCATAGTGTGAAATTTTAAAATATTATCCTCAAAAAGATCAGGCTGAAGCAAATTATCATAAGCCCCACTTGAAAAATTAAGCGTCTCGCACAAGATTATGCCCCTTGGAAGATGCTATACAGTTCAACTGTGAAGCAAGAACCATTAGGCAGTTCACTACCCGTCAATTTAAAAACAAAGTGAAAGTAATCTGAACAACAACAAACTCAAACAGAAACTCCCAGCTAGCAATAATCCCAGAGGGGTGGCCCTGGAGATGGCCACAGCGTGAAGGAGCCAGGCACCAACGAAACTGCCAGCATGTCAGCCATCACGACAGGTTTAAAGTAAATACACACCCAGACAGAACACACTACAAGTGTGAGAAAAAGTTCTCTAAGCAAGGTGAATGAAACCCATCAGGAAAGAACAAAACTTCAAAATGCCAAGATGCAACCAAAATGTACGGAGTAAAGACATCTAGGTGAAACAAGAGGTCTCCACTAACTCAGACATGATAAATGCGAAGACATTTGCTCAGGAGCAGGTACCAGACAAACCGGCAAACAAGAAAACACAGGCACTGCTTCTCCAGGGGCATAAGACGCTGCAGGGACCGCAAGGGCACACAGGTGTCACCCGCGGGGCAGCCCGCACGTGCGGAGACACACGCTGCTCGTGTTTACAGCTGCCTCCCTCAGACTAAGCCAGGCTTCCGTCTCCACCAAGGAACGCCCGCTCTCAACACCGAAAGGAGCCATCCAAAGGGGACCTCGAGGGAAGCCAGCCCGCCCCGTCTCTGAACCGCCTGCAGATGCTGACGCTCGCTTCCACTCTTTCTCTACACCCTGATTCTCACCTATGGACACTGGGCCACACCCAGAGCCCTGCAAACCCGGCTCAGCACACGGTGGCCCGTGTTCCCTCCAGACCTTCAACCTCCCTTCAAAACCTCTGTGTTCTAAAGAAAATAAATAGAGCTATACATGAGTGACCTATTGATAGCTCTATTTATTTTCTTTTTTTTTTTTTTTTTTTTTTTTCCGGTACCGGGAACTGAACTTACGACCTTGCGCTTGCCAGGCAGGCGCTTTTGCCGCTGAGCTAAATCCCCAGCTCCCTTATTGTTCTTTTAAAGCATAGGATTTTTCTTTTTTAATTTTTGGGTACTGGGAATTGAACTCAGGACCTTGCAGTTGCCAGGCAAGTGCTTGTGACCCTGAGCTGTATCCCCAGTCCTTACTGTTCTTTTAAATACTAAACTGAGACAGAAACATCCCTTGCCAGCCTTGCCAGTGAGCTCCCAATCCCCCAGGACCAGATGAGTGGTGGTGGGTCTGCAGTGGCCGCCTGCGGAGAATGGGGACCCTCCCCGCCTCACACCCAAGGCTACTGTCACCCTGATATCAAACAAGGTGGTTTAAGGAAGAAGGAAAAATTTAAAACCAAAACCATGTTTAAAAACCGAGTACATCATGAGCAAGTAAGTTGTAATCAAGAATACAAATTGGGCCAATATTTGAAAACCTATTACCATAACCTACTACTTTAAAAAATTAAAGGGAAAAAAACAAATGATTTGATCACTGAGGACAGAGAGTTAAAATTCAATACCCAACACCAGGTGTGGTGGCATATTCCTGTAATCCCAGCACGCAGGAGGCTGAGGCAAGGGGAATACCATGAGTTGGAGGGCAGCCTGGACTACATAGTGAGTTCAAAACCAACCTGGGCTATGCAATGAGACCTTGTCTCAAATAAATAAATAAAAATAAAATTCAATACTCAGTTCTTTGCAAGCTAGGAACAAGATAATCCTTGGTTGACAAAGAGCACCTCTAAAAATCTTGTAGCAGGCATGAAACTAAATGGTGAAAATCCTTTTTTAAATAAGTTTTTTTAGTGAATAAATTAATTTGCTTTCAAACAAAACAAGAATGTCCAAACTTGTGCTATACTACCATAAATATAACACTGGAGGGCAACAGTACCAGGGTACAGGAATCCTGTACATATTGAAAGTCAAGATCCCTGGGCTTATGTCAACATGCTAAACCACAACCTCCAGGAGTGAGGTTAAGGGATCACTGGTTAAAGGCAGAGTGCACCTCCCGCCTCGCTCTGACACACAGCCAGATGACTAGATTCTACCATCTACCAGCTATGCATTCTGACATATTCCAATTATGCAATTTTAGAAAAGTCACCAGCTTTCCTTAGTCTCATTTTTGTCAACTGTATCCAAAGTTAACATCTCTGTCTTACTGGACACTCAAAATTATGTGAGGTTGCCGGGCATAGTGGTGCATGCTTGTAATCTCAGCACTCAGGAGGCTGAGGCAGGAGGATTGTTGTGAGTTCGAGGCCTGCCTGGGCTACAAAGTGAGCTCAAGGTCAGCCTGAACTGCATAGCGAGACCCTGTCTCAAAAAGACAAAAAAAAAAATTATGTGAGGTGACATATACGGAATCAGGCATGACTGACACACAAAGCAACACGCTCCGCTTTGCACCAATAATCTCCACAAGGATGGCCGCTGGCTTTTGTTGTCTGAGTCTTCCCTCCATTCCCTTCCGCTAGCACAGTAATGGCCCACAGAAGGTGCTGAAAAATGTCTAGAAAGCATAGTAGAAATTCAGCAAATGTTGATTTTTTTCTCTTTAATATTTTTCCACAGTAGTTCTAAATTTAGTATGTCATATAAGATAGCCATGGTGGTACATGCCTCATGCCAGCACTCTGGAGGCTAAGACAGGAGGATTTTGAATTTGAGGCCACACTGGGCTACATAACTAGACCCTGTCTCAAAAAATGAAAACACCCAACAAAAAATCATGAAAACGGTATGCATGCCAACCCATCTGTTCTTCACGGTGCCTACAAGTTCCTCCAGCCTCTGACATCACCTCTGTGACCACAACTCCCACTCCCTGCCCCCGCTCACTCTGCCCTGGACACTCCTTTGGTACACGGGTCAGCAGAGTGATCATACCTCACGTAGGGTACACACCTTGGCTCTTCCTCTGTCTACAATGTTTCTTCCCAGGTAATTTCACAGCTGCCTCCTTCTCTGTTTAATCTTTGTTCAAGTAGCACCTCTCAGTAAGGCCCTGTACCTAGACTACCTTCCTTCCTTACGAATGCAGCTCAAACACCAGGTAGGAAGTCGATCTCTTACTCCACAAAACTGACCATCTTCTTCCACACACATGGCTACTTATTACGGTTACCATGTCTCGCCTCCCCCACCCCGTTAGAAACCAAGCTCCAGCAGAGCAAGAGCTTTTGTCTTTTCTATTCCCTGTAATACCCTAACTGATACTAACAGCTCCTAACAGTGCCTGGCACCTAGTAAAGATTCAATAAATATCTGCTGAATGAATGAAAACTCACTGTAATGTGGTTATCAATATCCAGACAAAGTTCTGGGCGCTTCCAAACACATGAAGCACTATTTTGCTTGGGCCAAGCAGCACCTTCATGCTGCACACGGAGATCGTGACGGCCCTGTTCAACAACAGTACGGAAACTAGGTCAGAACAACAGCCACGTTCGTTCCTGGGAGAGGTACGGGAAACAATTCAAGAACCTCACTGTCCAATTTCAAAATTAAACAAGAGGCTTTGTGATAAACGCAGGCCACTCCTTCCTGTTTTAGTCACTGCCTGATCTTGGCTTTATCTCTTGGCTGCCTGTGGAAGGCTCCTGTTCAAAGACTCCACACAGGCGTTGTCTACTCGAATTCTTCACAGAGCGCTGCACTGGCGCATCACATTCACGACAGCTCAAACCGCGACTCCTCAGTTTCCTGAACAGTAAGAAGTATCTTTAACTCTCGAGCACTCTGTGACTGTACATGTCACAATTCTTTAGAGCATTCTTCTGTAGCACAACATTATCCTCAAAGAACATATACAAGTAGAGATCTTTATAAAAACAGGTCATTTCTTTTACATAAGTAGGCCTAATTTTAGGCATAGTAT